GGGGACACTTCTGGCTGGTCCAAGAAAAGGAGCCACACACAACTGAAATTTCTTGAAAGAACAACAGGGGTGGAAAGGCAAATGAGAGAAAGAGCAAAGCACTAATGAAAAATAAGCTAATGCATAACAAGATAAAGAAGAGGAGCATGGTTGGAGGGAAGAAAAGGCTTTGAAGTAAGCCACAAAGTAATATGAAGTTGAAAGCAACAGGGTAAATCTTGGCAGATTTGTGTGACAGGGGCAAGGGATGTGGGGGAAAAAAATAGGTAGGTGAAGCAGAGGGCAAAGAAAGGGATGAAAAAAAAAAAAAAGAGAAACAGTTTATTGAAGAAGAGGAGAAACCTTGAATGAGGGAAAGAAAAGGAGTGAAGGAGATGAAGAAAAAAGGAAGAAAGGGGAAGGAAAGTTACTAACTGGGGAGATGGAGAGACACCACTTGCACAGGTCTGAAGTCCACACTGGCCTCTTGCTCTCCTGAGATCCAGCTCTGCTGGAGCGAGTGGTGTCCAGGCATAACTCAAGCTGATCCCAGAAAGCAATGCCTTGGGAGCTGTGGGCTCACTGCATCTGGCTCGCCACGGATAATGTGGCAATGCCTTCACAGGCATTTTACAGTCTTACCATGCACTCCACTAGTGTGATCTAAAGACAGCTTGCATTAGCAAGATTTGTTTATGCAAATGAGTTACTATTTGGAGATAAAAGTGAGACAAAATTATTGGTCAGGTAATGGTAGAGGCATGACTAACAACATGAAGTGAATCTCAGGTAAGGTTAAACAAACATGATCTCTAGATCTTTTACAATGGAATCTCTTCTCTTGAGAGCTGTTTGTCTGAAAGGTGGTTTTAATGCTGTCCAGGGAGATTTTAGTGTTAAAAGAGATTTTTTTCCTCCCAGCAGTTAGCTCTGGCAGAACAACATGGCTCAGCTCCAGGACAGTTCCCTTCCTATTGCTCATTCTCTCTAGTAGATTCTGCAAGCCTAATTAACAACACAGGCTTTGGCCCTTTTGTTGGCACAACGATGTTTTGACTTTTAGTGAGCTTTTGCATCATTCTAGTGACCCCCCTCCTCCGAAGCCTGGTGGCTTTCCAAGAGCCTGAGCAGTTGGGAAAACAGCAGACAGCTCTCTTGCCAGTGCTCCAGAACTCAGCTCCTTTCTGTAGGAGTTTTGGCACTCTGAACCCAACAGGCAGAAAAAGCCTTGCAATCCCTGCAGGTTTTGCACATGGCTGACTGCAAACTGTGAACGGGTCTGCAAGGTGAGAAAGCTTTTATTTTTATATTGCTGCTCTTTGAAGTGAAATTCCTTTGAGGTGATTTGTCCTGGAGATTAGCAAAAATAAGTAGTTGAGTCTTTGACTGGCACACAGACATTTTTACAGTGAATTACAATATTTGAGGGCTCTGTAGTAAGTCCCATGCAATAAAGCTATCTACTATGTTGCTTTCACTGTGACTGCCTGCATACTTTGATTGATTTGCCATTTTCTTGTCACACTATGTCCTAAAGCCTCAGCAGCTTTATTTAAGGAATTATTTGGGACCTTTTTCAAAATTCATGTCATGCAAACCCAGTCCTCATAAGACTGTGATGCATGCATGGACTCTCATGGGCAAAACCTCTCCTGTCTGCTCACTCTTCTTCACAGCCCTTGTGTCTCATGCTAGAATGGGGTACCTGCAGTGAAAAATATTGTGACAGAGAAGGTGTCTGACCCTGCAGCTCCCTGTGTACTCCACTCACCATATCTCTAGAATGTGAAGGATGTGGATGTGAACTCAGCTGGATCTGGGCAGGTGAAAAGAGAAGCCCTGGAACTGAAAACTGCAGATCCAGGGGTGAGTTTTAATTTGAAAGCAGAGTTCAGCACAAGTGAGTGTCACCTGGAAGAAACTGACACACCATCTAAAGAAACAAGCTAAAAGCCTCTGTATTCCTCCATCAGCTGCACCATGGCAATCAGGAGCAAAGCTGGACACGACTGTCAGGGACAGCAGGATGCTGGCAGGTCCTTACAGCAGGTGCCTCTGCCGTGTGCCAGCACTGGTGGCTGGCCCTGAGCCCTGGCACTAGGGCAAGAGGATGATCTTGTTGTTCTGTAGGGATTCTGGGGGTTAGGGAGGTCATGGGTGCAAATCAAGCCATCCTGAGCATCCTGTGATGGTGTGGAGACAGCCTTTTCCATGTCAAATAGATTTTCCCATCAATCTCCATTGAGGCCTTTGTCTTTCTTCAGAAGGAAAAGGCTACAGTGGAGGGATGTATTTCCATCCTGGTCCTTACCACAAGCCTTAAGGAGCAAGAAACAAGAGTGTTTAGAGAGGAGTAAAGAGGTCAGTTACTCTAACTTCTCCTCCTGCGTTCAGAGCTGGGTGTTGAAGGGAGGGGGAAACAGAGTCAAATCCAAAATGTTCAGGAGTAATGTTCTCTGCAAGTTTTTCTGATGTAATATACCATCCTCTGTTGCTCCAGAGGTTGTTACCATCCTTTGGATCCTTTTGAATCCAGCGTCTAACTCTGTGATGGAAAAAGGCATGGACTTTGATTGAAAGTGCCAAGGAATCATGGCTACTTCAAAACTGTTTTACATAACCAGCATCCTAACATAAGAGACCACCCCATGAGAGCAAAGAGGCTTGGCTGGACCTCTGAGATGAGGTGTTCTGCCATACACAGATGCCTGGTAGTGTTGGGCAAGCATGACCTTCCACTGGGAGATCCTGACAGCAGTCCCAGAAGGTCAGGGGATTACCTCTGTATACAGCACCTGCTTGAGGGCTGTACAAACACTGCACCTAGTCCTGATGTCAATCCTGAAAAAGTATTGAAGGGATAGAGGAAAACAGCCAAATGGCCAGGTCAAAGCTTGGGAAACATTCCACGCTGAGAAATGCAAGAAGCCTTATCTCCTAAATGTATGTAAGCAGAGATGAGTGGAGGCTTGGTCCCCCTGCAATTACCTTGATGGAGAGGAGACAAGGTAGCACAGAACAGGACCAAACAGATGGAAGCCAGAGTTAAAAAATACTTGCAATTCTGTTCTGAATTTGACATTGAAGGTTAGGGGTTTGGCACAGAAGGGTTTGTTGTTTGTGCTTCGGAAGAAATCCTAAGGTCCTATGGGCATCCTATGGATGGCCATAATAATCTTTTTTTACCCTACATGGGTGTCTCACAGGCTGTGCCATCACAGGGCAAAGTGGGCACTGTGCTGGGCACCACACTGCTGATGGACAACCAACCCTACAGCCACAGGCCAGCTTTGCTCCTCTCCCCATCAGCTCTCCTCAGCATCACTACTGAGAAAAAAATAGGCCAGAAATGCCCTCCCAGGCCATTGAGGTCATGCTGGGAGGGCAGTGGAGCCAATTCTCCAGAGCCACACCACCTCAGGGCGTTCTTATGGGCTTACCCTGGAACAATTACACATCATATACAACGTATAGGTCAAGGGGCAGCTCCTGCATTTATTGAATAGGTATTTCTTTTCCATTTTCACACATATTTAACACTTTTCTGCTTTGATTTGTTATATTGGCAGTTCATTGCACTGACACTCTTGAGCATTTAGTGCATTATAGAGCTTTCCCTAAAGATGATAAGCAAGAAAATGGCTGTGTGTTCCTCTCATCTGGATGCTTCCCAGCTCACACTGTGGCACCTTGCTTTTCATTCCCTTCATTTGCTACAGCCAACACATCACCTCTGCTGTCACTGTCATGAAGCCTCAACAAAAAAAGGGATTTTGTGCATGTCTTGTACTCATACTGGCTCTGGTAATGTATCCCCTGGGGGCTGGTCATGAAGAGAGCACTGCATCCATTTGCCAGCTATACCTCCATGGAGGTGGTGTCACTGCTGAAGCCACTTCCTCTGTACGAAATGGTCCATGGATGCCCAAGTACTGATCAGGACACTGCAGTCACTCTGCAAGGTGCCCCTCACCTGCTACAAGGGACTGTAGCAAAATAAGCACTTTCCATCCCTTCCACCTTTCAGCTGTTTTTTCTGAAGGCTAATAGGAGTTGTTTGAATTCCTCAGGACTGACATTCCTGCATTTCCATGCCTATACACTTTACAGTATGGATGATACAGAGTCTTTACAGAACAGCACTATAGTAAAGCAGAGACAACACAGGTTCAGTCTGTCACAAGCAACAGTACACAGCATCTAAACAAAATTAAATGTGTCAGCTATATTCTTACATAAAAAAAGAAAAAGTTTTTTCCTCCAGGTGTAACTTGTTTTGTGCCTGAGCATAAAAATCCTCACACAAAGTTCCAACTATTTCCCAAATAGAATATAAATAATCAGAACTCAGTTGTAGCAAAAACCCTTCCTCAACTCAAATCCTCCTAAAATGGCTGTCTACAAGATAGTGAGAGAAAAATATCACATTGTCTTTTTGTAAGAGAGAGAGAGAGAGTGAGAGAAAGAATAGACAATGTTTTAGATAATTTTAGCATATTAATACAATATACTGAATGTAATACAATATACTGAATGTTCTTTCTGTTTCTTCTGATAACTGTGATAACCGACCATTGCCTTGCTAAGACTTTATTTTTTTCTTTTAAAAGGTCTATAAAACAAGTAACATGGGAACAAAAAACCAAATTCTGAATATTTTAATCTAAGTCCATCTAATCTTTAGTGAATGCAACAACTCTCATGGATCTAAATTTCATTTTCACTTTCATGTAACTATTCTATCACATTTAACTACCATTAATATAAATGCCTGGTTTTTTGTACCCTTTCAAACTTTGAGACACTTCAGAAACCTATTTTTTTAAAGAAACAATGATTTTGACAGTATAAAATGCATTAAAGCTTACTCATTGGCAAAAGAAACAACAGAAAATATTTTTGCCTGAGAGATCACAGTCCGCAAATACAAGCTCAAATTATCTCTTAGTCATTTTATCATCACCCAAAACATTGCATTTATCCAAACTGTAGCTGCTTGAATATAAAAACATGAGACTCACCTGCCTTTTTTGTATACCTCATGTATTTCTTTTCCTTGTCGGTGGGTTCTGCATTCAGTGGATAAAATCCATCCCCACAGCAGGAGGAAGATGCTAAAATGCATTTTATGGACAGTCAACATGTTACCTGAAGGTCTAGTATCCAGAAATAGTCCATACAAGAAAAAGAAAATCTAAATGTAGATCCTGTTTCTCTTTTTAAGACATTATCGGTCTGATCGTTTTTGGAAGGATGTTTACTCATACAAAAAATCATCCTGCAGTATTTAATCTGGACAGTGGGGAAAGCAATTTCCACTAAACCTATAAATCCTTCTACGTCAGATGGCAGGGATTTTCTAGCACTGTTGAATTCACGTATTCTCAGACAACAATTATTTTTAGTCCAAACAGGCTATTTTATTAATTGGTTTAAATTGAACCCTGTTCAAATACCTGTGGCACATGTACATATATATTTCTGCCTTGTTAAGTGAAGTAGTGCATTTGTTCAGCTAGATGTCATTGGTAATTCTTTAATCACAAAACTTATCTGTGTAGCAGTAATGTTTGTTACAAGCATTGCAATAAATTGAAAAGTATTAATAAAGATATATCAATTTGCAGAGAAAAAAATTATTTAGTTCTACAAGCAGCATTTGATCCTGTGTGTTCTGCATTACTTTAGCATCCAGTGGTGCTGTGGCCAGAGTGGTTGGTGCTTTCACGACTTGTGCTCAGCTGAGCACCATGTCTGGAAAGTATCCAGTGCTCAGAGGAACAGGGAAGGACAGAATGGGGGAGATGCCTCTGCCCTCTGCACAGGGATGTTGGAGCCATCCTGCTGAAATCGAGCAGCAAACACCCACCAGAGCTGCAGGAGAACCTGGGGGCCTGGTGTGTCAGGTCTCATGTGGCTGGCAAGATCCTCATTTGTGGTAAAGAAAATAAAATGGTGTGGGCAGAAATAGGACAGTCAAGCCAGCCCCACTGCCCATCAGTTTGGAGCTCACACCCTCCCTGCACAGCTCCATGTTCACTCTCCTTCTCCTCTGTGCCTCTCCCCAAGGCTTCACAGCTTTGGTTCTTACTTGTGCCTTCTCATGGAGAATTCACCCGTGTCCTGCTGACACTTCCAGCCTTGTCCTACCCCTTTGCTGACAAGGCTCTTCTTCCTCTGCCTGTTACCTGTTATGGATTTCTATTTCAGAGCAGTTTGTCAGGTCACCAGTCTCTTTCTACAAACACTGGGGAGCAGATCTCTACCTGGCCTAAGCTGCTGTAGCTTTACTGACTTTGGTGAGCATTTACACTGCCTTGGGATCCGTGGGAACAACACACTGAAAGGCACTAACAATTCATTCAAACAACAAAGATTCAACTTCATGACTTGCGGGGGATAAAATATTTTCTACACAAATTTGTGCAGGCTTCAAGAGATGGGCAATCAGTCACCAGCAGTTTGTTGTCATGATTGATCAATGCTACTGTTCAAAGAAGTTGTACCCATTTAACTTTGAAAATCACCTGCATTCCATTCACACAGATTCACTATCCTTCTCAAGGAGAATAAAAAGCATCTTAATAACTACTATTTTCACTGGTGGGGATGTTAGATATACTCTTCTCAGTCTCAATAACCTATGTAAATGTATTTTTGATTTATATGTGTTTAAAAAATACTAATCCCTTTCTTATGCAGAGAAGCAGTGGGGATTGACAAGCAATGGATAGCTATGAATTCACTTAGCTGCTCTAAAACAGCTGGAGGTGACTTGGTACACAAGAGAGGAGAGAAACAATTATTCTCTCACTAACAGATGAAATTGCCAAAGGAATATATTAAGAAGGCCAAAAAAAGTGTTTAATTTCCCTTTTTGGATTGTTGTTCATAGAAAAGTTCAAATATGAGCTATTCATAAAAAAATCTGGAACAAATAATCAGACAACTTCTAAATTCCTTAAAGAAGATGTCAGGATGAAGAATAGATGTGGGCTCCTGAAGAATAAACATGTGGAAGAAGCCTCTTTCCCTGAGGACAACAGGCTTCAGAGCTGGGGGAGAAGCAGCAGATTTAGATAAGCTTTCAACACCACCTCACACGGTACTCCATAAGCAAGACAGAGAAGCATGGTCTTGTTGAAATATCTGTAGGCCTGATGCAAACCATTTGCAAGTTTTAGTTCAGTTTATCTTGCTGCACCTCAGAGCAGCTATCCATGACTGCTCCTGGCCTGCAAAGTATAACAAACGTATTTTGCAAAAGACCTGCAAGGAAGCTGCAAACCTCCTGGGGGGTAACCCAGAGGGAGGGTAGGAATGGCACAGTGTATGCTTCCACTTGTGTGAAGTCACTTCAAACAGACAAATACTCTGCTCCAAATGGCCATGAGATGCAGAACAAAAAGGTAACTGAGAAGTGGAAAATGAGGTAAAAATGAGGTTAGATACTAGATTTGATACTAGGAATATTTTCTAACAATAGGGACAGGGAAACATTGCAGCAGATTACATGGAAAGAGATTGCAATTGCCATCATTAGAAATAATTAAGACAGCTGTTATGGATCTTGTCTTAGGACCAAAGGTTAGATTACATTACTTCCCATGGTCACCTCCAGCACTATTTCTTTCTGGTTTTCCTAGAGGAAAAATGATGGAAAGTTTACATATCAGAATTAGAAAAAATGTAAAAACTCAGACACCCAGGAACAAGAAGAGAGATCGCCAGGTGCCTTGTACATGAAAACTAAAACAGAAAAAAATCAAACAAAAGAACTTTCAAAAAGTTTGTCCTCCAGTTTTGCTTAATATCAATCTTGAGCAGATGGACAATTAGTTTTGCCTGCTTTCTCATTTCATTAGAATGTCTAGAGATTAAAGACATAGAACTATTTTCATTCAGTAGGTAAAACCCTCTGGATATCAAATATGAAAAGAATGAATATTTTGCAGTGAACAGTATTTTTAACAAGTTCATCTCTTTAGACATTTTGTGGGCTAGCTGTGAGCTAACTGCAGTCTCCTCAAATTATTTTACTATTTATCTTATCAGCTGTTAGATTTGGTGGGAATATCCCAAAGATACGCATAAAAATATTTCCATTTTGATTTATTACTTACTTTTGGCATTTTTTTTTTGCTGACCCATCAAATGAGTGTTCACAAATATAAAATTTAACATGCACTCTGCTTTCCAGATACCCAACTAGTAATAAAATAAGTACTAACTTTCCACTTGCATTTGATACTTACCAGATCTCAGAGCAAATTTTAAAATGGAAAAACCACAATACTGTTGACTTTCCTAACTTTAACACCAGTTCTATGAATAAGAGACAACCATTTGAATGTGAAATGATTGTGTCAAATCTCTCAAAGCCAGACAACAGCTGATCCAATAATAGACCAAGAAGTGGGGATGGACTGTAGCCATGAAGTCAACTGAGCAAGGTTGAGTTTTGCAGTAGGAAAGGCCAGCTATTTCCTTTTTATAGCAGAAGCCATCTTTCCTGGAATACTTTTTTGCTGGAAGCCAGACACCAGGCTTATTTGGGTTAGAGCAGGAGCTGAATACAATTGATAATCCACAACAAAAATACAAAAACATCTCAGACAGATGAAACAAATTATTCTGAACAGGAATGGTGAGGGAAATCAGAGTTCTTGAGTAAGTAGCAATGAATAAGGTTTGAAGTTGTGTTGGAGGGCAGTGCCCAGAAGCTGCCCTCACTTAGAGCAGCTTGATTTCCCCTCAGGAATGCCACCCCCAGCTCCTGCTCAGCTCCTGCCAGCTGGTGATGCTTTCCTGGCTCCAGGATTTTATCACTTTCATCACTGTGTTCCTCAGAGGAGTTCAACAGGGTCTTGGGCTTTTGCTGAGTTACTGACGCATAGAAATGCAGGTTTCCCAGATTGTTCAGGACTTTCATCCTGGATTTCCTGCATTTTCCTTAACAAAGCATGATAAGAAATGCCACAAAAATAAACTTTCCATTCAATTTGGCGCAACCAAATTATTATAATTTGTTAAACATACACTTTTTTCCATTTGATTCCAGAAGAGTAAACTATTTATCCAGTTCTATTTATAACTTATCCATCTCCAAAATGAGAACAGAAGAAGTCAGAAGAATAAATTGAGACATATTGTTTTGCCTTTGAGACAACAATTTACTGAGATATTGAACTTGTCAGGAGCAGAAATCCAGTCTGGAGAACAGTCACACAACCCACCAGACACCACAGGAACCCAGGAATACTTTCAGTGCCTTCAGGGCAAGGCACATTGCAGTGAAAGCATCTGACACAACAATAACTCTGGTCAAATCACCACCCAGCCTTCTCTTATTTAACTAACTACCCAAAGCTTTAAAAAGTGCAGCAACACACAGCACACTCAGTGTAAACAGTCTTGGAGCTATAATCAAGCTATAGCAGACACACATAAAAGAGCATTTAGATGCATTTAAGAGCTATCGATGCAAGCATGGACAGCTGTGTCACTGTATCTCTGTTGTGATTTATGTTTGTGGGAGCTGGAGGAGCACAAGAATTCCTGTGTAACAGATTGGGTGCTGCTTGGCTTCTGGAAAGTTATTTCCTCTCTGCAGCTCTGTTTCTTTCAGAAGTGATACTCTGTGCTCCAGGACACAAGGGTCAGAGAATAGTAGTGTCTTCCTATCATGGGTGTTGTCAGACACTTTTAAAATCTGGCTTAATATGAAGTTAGTGGGGTTTCTGCATTGTGTCCTTTTTTAAAAAAAACCAAACTTATATTCTTTGGGACATTCATGGAAGATCCATGCTCACCTTGTGTAAGGTGAAATATGTCAGCTGGATCCCTCCCATTTGTTTGGTTACAGGACCATCCAAGGAGGATGTTGGTACAGATGAGGAATAGAATTTGATCAATGTAGGGATAAGTGGCATTTCCACTGAGTTTCACTATGGTGGTGTCAGCAGAGCTGGTGGCTATTCCTAGCATTCCTGTCTCCCTTAGCTCTGCTCTTTGTATGACTCAAAATCAAACTCCCCAGGAAGCTGAGAGGATGAGAGAAGTGGGAAGATAGGTATTTACACTGGAATGGTTAAAACTAAAGAAGCCCACATAGAAAGGGAAAGAAAGTGTTTCCTCTGCAGGCACAAGTGGCAAATCCATCCTTTTCCAGGCTGTAGCTAGAGGTGCTGTGATGGTGGAGGGCGGAGTTTTGGAGCTACTGGTTAGAATAGGGCAGAGAAAATGTCCAAACAGGAAGATTTTCGTTTTCAGTGTTAAAGATCATTATATGATCTGGCATAAGTGTGCACCAGGATGGGAATCACATCACTTTATATCACTTTTTGGCCACTTTATGGCCAAGGTTTCCACCACAAATAGGGTTGTCACATTTGTTTTCATGCCCCTGC